TTTCACTCTGTATATTTTAATTTCCCCCAATAGGAGTGACAGTTCCTTTTTTTTTTTTTTCAAACAGCTAGAACTGATTTAACACAGATAAACAGCCAACAGTTTTTCAGTGTGCTCTGGAGGATTATTAAACTATGTCAAATGATTAAATTCAAAATCTGCTAAATTACCTGTAGCCTGGGAAATAAAAGCAAAGTAAGCAACAATCAAATTTGGAGTAAGTTACTCTCCTCCAGTCTATTATGAGTCTCGGTGACAGCGTCTTTTTGTCTGTGTTCAGTACGTGCAATCCTTTTCAGATGATGTATATGTTAAGCTTGTGCCTTAGAATCTGCTTTCTGGAAAATTCAGATAATGTATCCGGACTGGCTATTCTGGCATTTTCCTCTTCTCTCTGATATCTCTTAAAGATGTTTTTATATTTCAACAATCCTCCTCCTCTTTTCTGTCCTGGGCCTTAAGCCCCACATGAGGGGCGGGGGGAGTTCCTGGCAGGATTTGAGACCCTGTAGATGGGCCGAGGGGACTGTCAATTTGGGGGGGGGGGAGTGTCACTTCAGTGTTCATTGCTGTGCAGACTACTTCTCCATCCCTCTCCCCTCCCTTTCCCCCTTCCCATCTTTTCTCTCTCCCCTCCCCCTCTCCTTTTTCTCCCCTCTCCCCCTTCTCTCCTTGCTTTTTTTTTGGGGGGGAGGTCCGGTCATGGGCCTGAACTCTGGGCCTGGGCGCTGTCCCTCAGCTCTTCAGCTCAAGGCTAGCGCTCTACCACTTGAGCCACAGCGCCACTTCCGGCTTTTTTCTTTTTGCTTATGTGGTGCTGAGGAATTGAACCCAGGGCCTCAGGCATGCAAGGCAAGCGCTCTACCACTGAGCCACCTTCCCAGCCCCTCTCCTTGCTTTTGTTGTAAACTCAGGGCCTCATTTTCTCCCTTAGCTCTTTCTGCTCAAGGCTAATGCTCTACTACTTGACCCACACTGCTGCACTACTGCTTAATTGACAAGAAGAGACTCAAGGACTTTTCTGCCTGGACTGGTTTCAAACTGAGATCCTCAGATCTCAGCCTCTCGAATAGGTAGACTTTCAGGCAAGTGCGTGGCATTTCCTTTCATTTTATAATGTTCCAAACAAGCAAAAGGCAGTATAACTTCAGATTTTCCCAGCAACTGAGTCCTTCATTGTTGCCTGGATGATAGGAAATAGCTTAAGATCTTTCTTAGAAAGATGCAGAGTCGCTTCCTGACGGTTGAGTTACAGATGCCCTGAGTTGTTGCTGTGAATATCAGAAGTTGTGGTGCCCTTGTCTCAAATATTATACATCACTGCTGCTTCTTCCTAGAATGTTCTAGGTCCTTCAAAGCTGTGAGGAAATAGTCAAAGCATTTAAAAATGTTTTCTCTCTGGCTATGCTCATCACTGCTTAGATATTTAAATCACGTTTTCTCTCAGCCTGATACTAAACTGCTACATTAGAGAAGAAAGCACTCCTTTATTCGAGAGAGAAAACAGCTCCCTCTAACTTCTAAAATACATCACCTATTTATCCATGGGACACCTCTCCCCTCCAGATAATGTAACCTTATCTCTCTTCGTGATTATTTCACAAACTCAGCACTTTTATTTTATTTGGGGGGGGGGAAGGTGGGTGCACGCTGGTCCTGGGGCTTGAATCTGAGCCTGGGCGTTGTCTCTGAGCCTCGTTATGCTCAAGGTTAGTGTTCTACTGCTTGAGCCACAGTGCCACTTCTGGCTTTTTCTGAGTAGTTTGTTGGAGTTAAAAGTCTCTTATGTGTGACTTTACTGCTGGGCTTGGCTTCAAACCTCCATCCTCAGATCTCAGCCTCCTGAGCAGCTAGGATGACAGGCCTGAGACACTGTGGCCAGTCAACTCAGCCAACTTTTTTTTTTTTTTTTTTTTTTTACCATGTTCCTTTTTGAATGATTTCCTTAGCCAACTTTGGCGGAGGGGTTGCATATAAATCTGAGGCTCATTCTATTACTCCATTTTCCATGGCTATCACAAGAGGCCTGTAGCTGGAAAATACAGAAAGAAGAGAGGCTTATTTAGTTCTGAACATTTCTTGGTGGTGGCATCTGGGCAGGAGACATCCTGCAGACAAGATCTCAGGAGAATGAAAGGTCACATGGCCAGTTAGGACGCTGAGGAGCCCAGTGTAGCTCCTCTTACGTTTTACTTGAATACTGAAAACTAGTGGAAAAGAGCTTCGCCTGTGGGACCCTGCCTTCCCAGGCCCTGCCTCTTCAAAGGCCCTGCCTTCCCAGCGATGCCTCACTGAGGAAGAGGCTTCCAGAATGTGACTTGGTGGGTAAGGGAAAGAGACTTTCCCCCATCCAGACCCTGGCAACCACAGAATCCAAAAGCAATGCCTTCCTTAGGATTTTGATTAAAAATCGATTATCCCTTTCTCTAGCGCAAAGGTAGAGCCGCACTTCAGAGCCAGGCTCCCCAGTGAACTGCCCCGCCTGACTGCAGCCCCCACCCCACTGGAGGGCAGGGGTGTGAGGAGATGTGTGGGGATTCAACACCCAGGAATGCAGAGCCTCAGGCCTCCTGCCTCTATGGCCTGCCTGTTTGTGATCCCCCCCACACTCAAACATGGCCAATACCATGCTATATCCTGCTGAAGTCCAGCGCTAGCCAGCACTGACCTGAAAGCACAGTGCTCCTTGGAACTTTACAAGGATGTTAATTTTCCTTCATCCTACCCTAAGACACTGTGCTAGAACTTGAGGAAATCCATACCTGCTTCCCTACACATCTGATGACAGCCAACCTCCTTATCTTGCTGTTCAACCAGCAAAGCAAAGGTTGTGTGCAGATCATTGATGGAGGTTTGTTTGTCCCCAGCATCTCAATAAAGAATCAGACCTCCCTGGCCAGATTGTTCTAGAGCTATTGGTAGCTAGTCTGGGGCCGATGAGTCACCACATGAATATTCAAACAGCTGGCGGCTCCCAATGCCAGTCACCCCATTTATGTGGCCGCGGGACTCCAGCACGTGCGCGGCCGCTTCGTGCCAGCTTTGTGCCAGCTTCGTGCCTTTCCCTTAAACTGGCTGTGTCGGAGCCACACCCCGAGCTTCACAGCCTGGAAAGGAGCTGGGAAGCGATGATTCTAGTCCTGTAGGGTTTGGATTTGTGCCACAGAGTGAAGATGCGGCTCAGAGAATGGGGCGTCTCTACTGTGGGAAGCTGGCTGCAGAGAAATCAGGGAGAACTTCCTGGCCGTCCTCCCACTCTCGGGAACAGCACAGGATCGTGGCTCACTGCATGCTCACACACAAACAGGTCTGCTGTGAGTGCCCTCGTAGCTCAGACCTAGGACCCAGGAGTGCACCCCATCTTCTCACTTTGCATACTCCGGGGCCGGGAACTTCACCGTAGGCCACACTGGCTTTCGTTGTTGAAGTAAATTCTGGGCTACACCACAAAGGGCATTACAGTCAGGGAAAACCCCTGCCTCATACCCCAAAGCACGGTTCCTGGATGTGTGTAGGAGTTAGAGATGACCTCCCAGGTCCAGGATCGAGTCAGTGATGCTGGGAACCTTCCACAGGCCACCCAGTTACTCTGAAAACTGAGACAATGTAAGTCATCTCGTGGGATCTGTGAGTCTTGAATGAGATCATGGATGTGAACCTGTTAGCTGATTGTGTAGCTTTGGGGCACTAAAATAAAGACTATAACAAATCTAGGATCTGTGAACGATCGCTGTTAGAAAGTACACCATACAACTTGAGTCTTTCTTGAGGTCTTTGGCAGCGATCTCTGCTTCTTGGAGGAGCAAATGTGTTTATATACCTGCCTTCACCTGTCTTCAAAGGCTGACGCTGCCAGGTGGCAAAATCACGTCAGTATTTCATTTCAGAGCCAGAGACACACAAGACTGTTGAGGCTGCCTGTTCTTTGTGTGCTGAGTTTCTGGTTGCAGAACTCTTCATTAGTTTTGTGTCAGTCCTGGGGCTTAAACTCAGAGTCTTGATGTCTCACTTGGCTTTTTTGCTCAAGACTGGTGCTCTGCCACTGGAGCCACAACTCCACTTTTACCTTTTTGGCGGTTGGTTGGACACAAGAGTCCCACGGACTTGCCTGGCTGGCTTTGAATTGTGATCTCCAGAATAATTAGGATTACAGATGTGAGCCACTAGTGCCCAGCTGGATTTTAGAACTCTTAATGTGTGTGTGTGTGTGTGTGTGTGCGTACACGTGCGTGTGCATGCACACACATGCCTCTGCCTGCCTGTCTGTCAGAAGTTAGTTGTGTACAAATATCTCTGTTGCCTTCGCTGAATCATCCTGTAATGATTAAAACGTAATTGTGCTCCCCGTGTGTGCGGATGGTGTATTGAGTTCTAAGGTGCTGGTGGCAAAGCTGGCAGCCCAGCGGATGGGGCAAGCAAGATGACAGCGGAGGGCACAGATGGGCACTTGTGTGGAAAGTGCCTGGTCTCTGCTTAGCTCGAAGGGGAGGAGCCTCGGAGCGCCTCCCCCTGTAGGCCTTCCATTCCCAATCTTCAGTAAAGGTCCCCACCTCCGAGCATTGTCCTGAGGCTGACCTGATGCCTGACAGGAAGCAAGCACAATCGCAGTGTTCACTAAAATGAGTCAGCCAGTGCGTCCTGAGTTTAATCTCAAGCACAGGTTTCCCTTTCAAGAGCATTTTGCTCAGCTATAAAGCATACCACATTGCTGGGCACTGGTGGCTTGGGCCTGTAATCCTAAGATCTGAGAACTGTGGTTCAATGCCAGCTGAGTAGGAAACTCCGTGATACACTTATTTCCAATTAACCAGGGAAAAGCTGGAAGTAAGCAGTGGCTCAAATGGTAGAGCACTAGCCTTGAACAAAAAAGCCAAGAGATAGCACCTAGGTCCTGAGTTCAAGCCCCAGAACACACACACACACACACACACACACACACACACACACAAAACCTACTGTGTGTTTGCTGAGCTTGAATATTGGTTTGTGTTTTCAGACGCTTTCCTGAGTCCTGGATCTCTCCCTTCTACACATCTCCCCCTGTGGGCGTTGGCTGGTTTTTGGACAGAAGCACCAACACCATGGACCTGGTGGGGCTGCTCAAATCTCAGTTCCTGTGCCACCTGGTCTTCTGCTACGTGTTTATCGCCTCGGGGCTCATCGTGAACACCCTCCAGCTCTTCACCCTCCTCCTCTGGCCCATCAACAAGCAGCTCTTCCGGAAGATCAACTGCAGACTCTCCTACTGCATCTCAAGCCGTAAGACCCCTTGGCGTTGTCTCCGCGGTGGCTCTGGGTGCAGATCGCGAGGCTTTCCTTCTGTCCTTGCCCGCTTTCACTTGAAATGCTCATTCTGTCTTCACTTTCCAAAAAACAAAGTGTTTTTTTTTTTTTTTGAGTAAGAAATGTCAATAAGCCTAAAGTTGAACAGCAAGAAGGGCATACTGCTCAGAAGCCATCAGTGTGAGTGATTTCTTTGTCTTCCTTAGGGAAATAGTATGCAGCCATGCTATTGCTTGTGTGCATACGTGCATGCGTGCATGCGTGCATGGGACTCTGTGTGGGCATATGGAGACAGAATGTGTACATACACACTTCTTTCTGCCATGCTTGGGATGGAATATACGTATATATTTAAAACGAAATAGTAATATACCATATGCTTTTCTTCCTTGCCTTTGATTTTGTTGTTGTTGTTTTGTTTTGTTTTTGCGGTACTGGCTTTTGTACTGTGGACCTCTTGCTTGGTTGAGCAGGTGTCTGCCACACCCTCTCAGCCCTTGACTTTTTAAAAAATTGTATTGTAAAAGTGATGTACAGAGGGGTTACAGTTACATATGTTGGCTTTATTATTTTTTTAAAATAGAGTCTTGTGTTTACCTGGGCCAGGCCACATGATGATCCTTCTGTTTATACTTCCTGAGTAGTTGAATTAACAGGCCCCTATCATCACGTCCTGGCTTTCATTGAATACGATTTTATCAGTCTCTAACTGCTATCTTCTCAATCTCTGTACTTCTGTGTAGTTAGGATTAAAGGCATGAGCTACCACACCTGTCCTATTTCCTTACTTTCTAGCACAACTTTTTATTTTTGAAATAATGGTAGATTCATTTGCAATGGTAAAAATCCATACAGTGAAATCCCTAATACCCTTCAGCCAGTTTCTCCTGGAGGTGACTTCTTGTATAACTGGAGTGGGAAATTCCAACCAGAAAATTGACATGAATACAATCCATTCACCCACTCAACTTCACTTTCATATACACTTATTTGTAAATGTGTGTGCACATGTGTGTACATGCTTATGCTAAGCTGTTGAGACAGCTGTTTTAATTTGACTGTCCTGGGTCTCAACTATTACAAAGATAAATTGGTATACTGGGACATGTAGAGATGTGTTTTCTTGTTGTTGCTGGTGAAGCAACTTAAGCTTCAAGCTGTTCTCAGAAGTAGAAAATGCACAGTAGAAAGTGAGCAGTTTTATCTCTCTCTCTCTCTCTCTCTCTCTCTCTATATATATATACACACACAATGTATGCATGGCTGTAAATATATCAAAATATGGGCTCTCCAAGCTAGCAATTTAAATGTGTTACCTTAGATTATGGTGAGTGCAAAATTATGGATATCTTCTAAAATTCTTTATAACAAGCCACCAAATTTGAATTTGAATTAACACAAACTAAACAGTGATCCAAATGAGTTAGTTACCTTGTGCCTATCCAACTGGTTCTTTATAAATGATTTATTTTATTTATTGGTGATCTTACTATGCAGCCCATGGTGGCTTTGAACTCAAGATCCCCCTGCCCTCACCTTTCTGATTTATACCATGGCCTACCATGCCTGGGCTTATAGCTTCAGCTTTTAATTAACACATAATAGTTTTTCATTCTCCTGGTTGTGGTATGACACTTAGAAACGTGTATGTAACATGTAATTAATGCCAGGCCAGAATAATTGTCATACTCATCTCTCAAACATCTATTACAGAATCATCTCTCTGTAAGCTATCCTGAAAGGCACAGGGATTGTTTTCATAGCTCAAGGGCTGCGCTGTGGAGAGGAGAGGTGGTTTCCCTCTGCAGCTGCGACCTCTGCCCAAACTTCTGCGTCTCGTGCAGCCCCCTTTGCCACGTTCTGATTTTTGCCTCTGCTTTAGGGATCATATCTAAAAAACTTTTGTCCAGAACAAAGTCCTGCAGTATTCCCCTATGTTTCCTTCTAGACATTTCATAGTTTCAGATCTTGTGGTCAGTCCTTTGATCCATTTTGGGTTGAATTTTTTTATCTGCTGCAAAATGGAGTCTAGTTTCTTTCTTCTCCATGGATAGCTCGTTTTTCTAATCCCGTTTATTGAGGGGCCTGGCCTTTCACCCAATGTAGGCCCTTACTGCCTTTGTCAAAATCAGTTTGGCTGTAAATATGTGGGTTTTTAAAAAATATATTTATTTTGTTGTGTATTTACTTCTGGACTCTCTACTCTGTCCTGTTGTTCTGTGTGTTCTATGTGTCTGATTTTATACCAGAACCATGTTGTCTTGATTCCTGGAGCTTGGTGGTCAGTTTTGAAGGTAGATGTTGTAATGTGTGCTCCTTTGCTCAGCCTGGCTTTGGCTATTATGAGTCTGTTGTAGTTCTATAAAATCTTAGAAGTGGGTTTTCTATTTCTGTGAAGGCTGTGACTGGTACTTGATAGAAATTGTGCTGAATCTCCAGATCACCTTGAATAGTATGGGCATTTCAACAACTCCAGTTTTTCCAATCCATAGATACGATATGCCTTTCTTTTGGGGGTAGGGTGTGTATCTTGTCCTTCTCATTTTCTCTTTTCTTTGATGGTGCTGGAGGCCCAACTCGAGCCCTGGGGGCCAGGTAGGCAAGGTCTGTAACATCCATCTTTAACTTTCCCTTTTGTTTTGTTAATGTCTTAATGTTTGCATTATAGCGATCACCCATTTCCTTTATTCCTAGGTATTTTATTTATAGCTATTATGGAAATGCTTTCTTGATGTTTTTCTTAGCAGTTTCAGTACTGCTGTATAAACAGTGGTGCTGATTTTTGTATGTTGGTTTTATATCCTGTATCTTTGTTGAATTTGTTAATCAATTGTAGCAGATTTTTAGTAGAGTCTTTAGGTTTTTCTAGGACTAAAATCATGTCATCTGCAAACATCCTTTCTTGGCTTAAATAGAAGAGAAAAGTGGACATTCTTGTCTTGTTCCTGACTTAGAAAGAAATTCAGCTTCTACCCATCAGTATAATGTTAGCTATAGGTTATCTTTGTACTTTGTGAGACACATTCTATACCTAATGTTGGATTTTATCATATACTTTTCCTGTATCTCCTTTATTCCATCCATGTGGTCTGTGTGTTACATTTGTGGGTTTGCAAATGCTGACCCATCCCTGCACCCCTTATCATTAGTATAGAGTCTTCTAAACCTGCTCTTAGATTTAACTTGTTTGCATTTGTTGAGAACGTTCACAGGGATATTGGTCTGTAGCTTTCTGTCTTGATAGTTTTCCATGTGCGGTCTGATTTTCGGTATCTGAGTAAAGCCGGCCAGCCTCATAAAGTGAATTAGAAAGGAAGGGTTTTCTGTTACAGATTTTTGAGACTAGTTTGAAAAGAAATGGTATTCTTCTTTAAAAGTCTGGCAAAATTCAGTAGTGAAAACCAGACATGGAAATGCATTCCTGTAACCCCAGCGGCTTGCAGGCCTGATGCAGATGCCACTCAGGTACCTGAGATATTGAGATTCGATCTCAGAATCAAAAATGCACATAGAAGGGCTGTGGCTGTGGCTCAAGTGATAGAGAACTTGCTTAGCATGTGTGGGACCATGGGTTCAACCTCCAATATGGAGAGAGACAGACAGGAGACAGACAGACAGAGACATACAGATGGAGACAGACAGAATTGAACCGTGAAGCTATACAGTCTTGGGCTTTTCTTTTTTGTGGTACTTTTATTATTGAATAAGGAATCTCAGCTTATTATTGGTCTATTCAGATTTTCTGCATCCTCATGGTTGAGTTTTGGTAGGTTATATGTACACAGAAGTATAGTCATTTCTTTTGTTTTTCCAAGTTGGCATATATGTGTTCATACGGCTCCCAATGGTCTTTCGTATTCCTGTGGTATCAATTGTAATGTCTTCTTTTTCATTTCTGATGTTATTTATTAAGATCTTCTCTGTTTTGTTTGGTTAGTCTAGCTAAAGTTTGTTGACTTTCATTTCTTTAAAGAAAACCCAACTCTTGTTATTTTAATTTATCTTTAGTGTGGTTTTCAAGTCTCTATGTTGTTTATTTCTGCTGTTATCTTTGTTATTTTCTATTCATTTTAGTTTGACTTGTTCTTGTTTTTTGAGATCTTTGAGTTGAATCATTTGTTTGTTTGAAGTTTCTTTTTGTTTGGATGTAGGAACTTATTTCTATAAACTTGCCACTTTATAGTGATTTTGTTCAATCCAAAGGTTTTGTTTGGTACACAGTGTTTCTGTTTTTGTTTTAAGAAAAATTTAAATGTCCTTTGGTTTCTTCATTGCCACATTGATTATTCAAGAGCATGCCATTTGTTTTCCATGATTTGTACCATTTTTAAAGTTCCACTCATAGATTTCTAGTTGTATTCCATTATCATCAGAGAACGTACGTGATAGGATTCCAGCTTTTTTTAGACTCAGTAAGACTTGTTTTACAGCTTCACGTGTGTCTCTCCTGAGGAATGTTCTATGTGCTGACATCCGCAGCTATTGAATGGATGGTTCTATAAATGTCTCTTTGCTCTATTGGATCTGTAGTGTAGCTTAATTCCGTATTTTTGTTGTCTTTGTTGGGTGCCTTGTTTTGATGATCTGTCTATTGATTAAAGTAGGAAGTTTATATTGAAGACTATTTCTGCTTTCAGATATAGTAGTGTGATTGAGTGCTCCGGAAATGGGGCATATGTATTTACAGTGAAGGTTTCTTCTTTTTTAATTGATCTCTCCATCATTATAGAATGTTATTCTTTGACTTTATATATATACATGCATATATATATATATATATTTATATTGGAAAGATACTATACAGTACATGTGTAAGGTAATGAGAGTATTTCCTATAGAAACCCCTCCTTTGTTTTTCCCCTACTGTCCCTTTCTTTGACTCCTTTTAGTTTTTGACTTAAGTCTACTTTATCTAGTCTAGCCAGCTTAGGGTTGTTATTGTTGTTGTTTGTTTGTTTCTTCAGTTTCTGTTGGCG